GGCGCGCCGCCAGTGCTTCTTGCTGTCGATGTCTCGCTCGTCGAACGTGCCGGGGCTCGGCAGGCGTGCCGAGCCGCCCAGCAGGAAATGGTTCGGTGTGATGGACTCGTCGTCGTCGCCGCTCACAGATACGTGGGTGAGCGGCCGGCTGTTGACGACGTACTCGACCTCGCAGAGCAGCGTCGCGAGGACCTCCTCGCGTGGGTGGCGCTCGTGCAGCGTGGCGCCTAGCGCGGTCTTAACGCACCGCACTAAGCGCTCCCAGGCGCCTCCCATGAAAGGCGCGGAAGGCGTGATGAAGCGCCAGGCGATGCCGCGTCGGCTGGCCTCCTCCTGCCAGGCCTCACGCAGCTCACGGTCAGCACCGTGCATGTTGGTGCCGTTGTCGGAGTAGATTTCGGTGGGACAGCCGCGTCGCGCTGCGAACCTGCGCAGCGCCAACACAGCTGAGTCCGCGCTGAGGCTGTGCGCGATCTCGAGATGAACTGCCCTCGTTGTGAGACACGTGAACAGCGCCACGTATCGCTTGTGATGCTGACGACCGACGGTGACTGACAGCGGGCCGAAATAATCAAGCCCGGTGTATGTGAACGGCCTGCGGTGATGAGCTAGGCGTGTCTTCGGGTGGTCGCCGGTTGCCGGCGTCGGCGCGCGCGCGCGACGTATGCGGCAGTGCAGGCAGCGCGCGATAACTTGCTTGACTGTCGGGCGCAGGCGCACAATCCAGTAGTGCTGTCTGACCTCATTCACGACGAGCTCGGTGCCGCTGTGTTGTAGGCTACGGTGCGTCCAATCTATATATAGCTGTGTAATACGGTGATCGCCGTCTAACACAGGTGGACTCTTCACGCTTTTAGCGACTTTGTCTACAGCAGCTATGCGGCTTCGCAGTACTATAACTCCGTCGTTTAGTTCTATGCGCAGCGGGTACAGCCGGCTACTACTTGCGACTGTTTTGTTGCTCTCGAGACTGGCTATTTCTTGTTTAAAGGCTTCTTGTTGCACCACACGAACTAACAGCTTCTCTGCTCTTTGAATATATGTCGCGTCCAATATAATAAACTTGCGTGTGTATATTTGGGCGCGCGCAGCTTCGGCGGGCGCGCGGGGCGCTCGCACCGCTCTCGACCAATCAGGATCGTTTTCTTTGTTTTTCTTTGTTCGCTTGTAGAACGTTTTTTCTGTATGTTGTTTTCTACATAACGATATAAACTGTAGTACTCTGGCTGTGGCGCGCAGCAATCGCTCCCATCTTGAAAATCGAGCGGGGTCGGGAACGACGTCTATGAGGTTTGCTGCGCCCGCTTGTATGAGCGTGACTGTTTTTTCCTCGCCTGTCGGTTGACTGTCAGCTGGTGACTCGGTCGGCCATGTCGATGGGTCGTCGTAGAGGAACTTAGGGCCGCAGTACCACTCGTGGTCGGTGTGAAAGTGCGTCGGGACGTCGCGGGTGGCGGCGTCGGCTATGTTGCTTTTTGTAGGCACCCAGCGCCACTCTTCGACTCTGCTATTTTCCTCATGGCGGCCAATCGATGTGCGACGAATGGCTTGTACGATCTGGCTCCTTTCCTTATCCATGTCAGAACGGTTCTGCTGTCACTCCAGTAGGTCACGGAGGCGGGCTTGACGTTGTGTTCATATATCACTGCGGCTGCGACGCGCGTACCCATCACCGCGGCTTGCAGCTCCAGGCGCGGTATTGACAGCAGCTTCAGCGGCGCCACCTTCGCCTTCGCCATGACGAGGCTGACGTGCACGTTGTTGTCACGGGTCGTTGACCTCCAGTACACCGCTGTAGCGTAGGCCTTCTCACTGGCGTCGGTGAACACGTGTACTTGTATTTCTGTAGCCTCGCTGTACCCAGGATAACAGCGCGGTATGTTTACGTTCTTCAGCTGTTCGAGATGACTTATCCACGCCCTCCACTGGCTTGATAGTTCTTCATCGAGAGGTTGATCCCAGTCGACTCCCCGCCTCCAGGCTTCTTGCAGTATTTGTTTCGCCTTGATTGTTATAGGTGAGGCGAGGCCCAGCGGGTCGTATAGCGACATAACTATCTTGAGCGCCTCTCTCTTGGTGGGCGTTTCCTTGTCGAGCAGGCCAGTAGGTAGGCGCGCGAGTTTTAAGTTGAAGCTCAGCTCGTCCGTGTGTGGCTTCCATATCACGCCGAGTACTTTCTCTGTGTTTTCTATATTTCCAAGATTAACAATCTGTGTTGTTTCTTGGCCCGGTACCAATTCACGCAGCACTTCTTCGCTGTTGGATACCCATTTCGTTAGGTCGAAGCGCGCTTTACTATGTATTTCTTGTACTATCTTGATTGTGCGCGTCGCCTCTTCTGTACTTCTGAAGCTATCCAGGTAATCGTCCATGTAATGATTCTTGACTATTGCTTCTACTGCTTCTGGGTGTTCGTTCGCATGGCGTTTAGCATTCCAGTTCTTAGCGAATATTGCTGTACACGGTGAACTTGCTGCGCCGAATATTATTGACGTCATTCGGTACTCTTCCGGCGCCCCCTCCCGCCGCTCTCCTCGCCACAGATATCGGAGAGCGTCTCTGTCTTCTGGCTTTACTTTCACCTGCATAAACATTTCAGTAATATCTCCGGAGACGGCGACGCGGTGACGTCGGAATCGCATCATCACGCCGGGCAGCGACTGCAGCAAGTCCGGACCCGTGAGCAGGTAGTCGTTCAGTGACATCCCTCTTGTCTTCGCTGCTGCGTCGTGAACTATACGAAGCTTCTCCGGTTTCATAGGGTTGAAGACGTCGAAGTGCGGCAGGTACCACGTTCTTCCCGGTGTACGTTCAAGGGGCGCTTTCTCTGCGTAGCCTTTTTCTATTAGTGAATCCATCTGCGCCATATATCTAGTCTTCAGAGCAGGATTCTTGTCGAGTTTTTTCTCTATTGATACGAGTCTATTCATCGCAGTCGCGTAGCTGTCCGGCATCTGTATCTCGTCACTCCTCCATAGCAACGCAGTCTGAAGACGTCCATCTTCCAACTGTACTATACTGCGTTGTAATATATCTTCCGCTCTCTTCTCCGGGTCAGAAGCTGGTCGGCACGGGTTGATGATGAGTGACTCGAGTGCGAAGTATTCACGAAGTTGCTTGTCTATGCTTTCCTCGGCGCCGTTCAGCTGATTGACGTAGTGCACCTGCTGTCCCAGAATCCTAGTGCGGGCACCGTGCAGCACCCAGCCCAAGGGAGTTAACGATGCTATCGGCTGATGCTGGGGCCCTCTTCTGATGTCTGTTGCTAGGAGCAGATGCCAGTTGTCTTGCCCGATGATAATCTTCGGCGTCCCTGCGTTGTACGTCAGCTGATCTGCCAGGTCAAACAGGTGCTTGCAGTCAGCGATGTCATCCTTGCTGATTGACTGCGGCGACAGGTGCAGGCGTGGTATGGTGCGCGCCCTGAAGGGTATCTTCTTCCTATGGCAGGTCGATAGCGTGAGGTCAACTCTCTTCGACGTGGGCGTGTCGATAGTCACGTCGCTGATGGCGCCTATTTTCATCGGCTCGACTGGTCCCTCTGCACCGATCATGTCTGCCAGCTCTTCGTCAATCAGTGACACGGTTGAGCCGTCATCCAGCAGTGCGTAGGTGCGCACTTCTCCCGCCGGTCCGGACAGTTGCACCGGAACGATTTTCAGGAACGCTTGATTTGTGTGGTTGCGTGAACTTGCGACTATTTCTTGCGCTTCTTGTGCAACTTCAGTAGTGCTCGCCTTCTTCTTGTAGTGAAGCAGATGATGGTGTGATGCTGTGCAGCCCTCGATTCCACATCTCTTCTTCTGACATCTGTGTCCGTGCTGACGATGGCGGAGGCAGCGGAAGCACATGTTGTGCTGCTTGGCTAGTTCCCACTTCTTGTCCGCAGAAGCCTTCACGAACTTGTGGCAGTCTAGCGATCGGTGTCCATCCATCTCGCAGATGCGGCACTTCGATGCGGGCTTCTTGTCTATAGTGGTGTGTGTTCTCTGCGTCACACGTCTAAGTCCAGTAGCTTCACTGATGTTTTCAGGCGGTGCAAACGCGCTGCAGTAGCGAGCTTGTTCGGTGATGAAGTCGCTGAAGAGACTCAAGTCCGGCGTCGACTGGTACTTCTCAGTATATGTCTTGTACCACTGTACACGTAGCGAGTTCGGCAGCTTCTCTGTGAGGATGCGCATAAGCTCGGCGTTCATGAGGTAGTGTTCCTTTTTCAGCGCTCGCAGTGTGACGATGCCACTTCGTACACGGCTGGCGAAAGTGCAGATGTCCTTCGGTGCTTCTCCGCAGCGTGGCAGCCCGCGCAGTCTGTCTGTCTCCGCTTGCGCTATTGAGTCGGGGCGGCCAAACTGAAGCTCCAACTCCTTCATGATGTCATCCGGCCTGGCGTTGCCGATAAGCTCGGAACTAACTGTATCAAGCGCTCTTCCTCGCAGGCTTCTTCTCAGCCTCGCCGTATTTTCCACATCGTTGAAATATGGTCGCGTTGTCTCATAGATGGCGCGGAACGATAGCCATTCTGTATGCAATCCACTAAAGTTCGGCAGCGTCATGATGACTTTCGATGCAGCAGGGTTGTGGTACACCGGTTTCTCTTCGCTTCTATTGCCGGCTAGCGATGCGATGGCGGAGGTGAGCTCCGTGATAAACGGACGGAGCCCTTCACCCCCTGCGGTATCTTCAACTGGTTTCTTCATTGATGGAAGGGCTTCAGTATCGATGGTCTTCGAGGGGGGGGCTCTGGTTTGTCCAGGGTACCCGGCAGTCTATGTCCTCCCTCGGCGGCGGCGTCTCTTCCAGGAGCAGTACTTATTCCACGCAGGACCGGATTCACTATAACCGCGGAGGGGGGGGCTCGGGCAGGTCCAGGGTATCTGGTGGTCTATGTCCTCCCTCAGCGGCGGCGTCCTGCGGGTCTGGTTCCGGAGCTTCCTCCAACCAGGAACGGATGTACTCTTCATTGGAATTTCTATCATCCATATAATCGTCGTCCGATTCTTCCTCGGCCCTCTGAAGTGCTATTTGCGCTAGCTCCAACTTAATCTTCAATAAGTCTTCACGCGCATTTCTAATTTTTCTATTTGATGCCGTCGATCTGTGCGACGGTGCCTTAAGTTCGGTACGGGCGTCAACCCGGGTAGTCAACGGTACAGCTCGGTTGTATGTCTTGTCGCAAGCCTTCAGTGTTCCTTCTGAACTATATTCTTCAGCACTGGTTCCAGGCGGCCTCAGTGATGACGACGCTTCAGTCTGCATCAACGACGACGGCGCTGGTCGCTCTTCACCCCCTCGCGGGGTAGGGGGGCGCGGTCGGTCTTCACCCCCTGCGGGGCAGGGGGCAGGGCGGCGCCTCACTTCCCCTCTCAGCTGCGGGGCAGGGTAGGTCTTCACCCCCCCTCGGGGGGGGGGGGCTGCTCACTCCCCTCGGTGGTGGTTGGAGAGAACGGCGGCTGGTCGTGCACGATGGGGGGTGTGCGGCGGCCCGGTCTGGCGTCGATGATCAGGCTTGAGCGGCTCTTCCTTGCGATCTTGTCACAGGCATACTCGCTGTTTACAACTCTTCAGTATCTTCAGCTGAAGTTCCTGGCTCGCTTCCCAGGCGATCCGGGTCGCAAGGACCAAACGGATGTGCGGGACGGACGTAGCTCAGAAGCAGGTACTATGGGGTGGCTTCGAGACGTTGACGCCCCGTCGGTCGCTGGTTCTTGGACGTCTGGGCGAGTGGACTGTATTTACGATGTGGCGAGAAACAGGAATTTCAGAAACAAGAATACGTTTAGACGGGTTTTAGACTCTCTGCTACTATAGGTTCAGGGATGCCGGTGAAATAATAAGTCTTCATATATTTTTCA